AGCAGATTAGAGCAAGGGGAAACTGGTCCCTTGAGGGACCTAATCAAGCTGTCAGTGGTCCCTAATGTGGAAGTCACTTGCAGTTTTTGCTGCAGCAGCACAAACACGGTAATGTTTTGACAGGCTGGGGCAGTGCTTGTCATCTGAATATTGTGAGTTTGTGTGAAAGATCCTATCCCACTTTTAAAGGATTTGGCCTCTGCACCTTGTTGACAGCACAGAAATGTTTCAGAGCTGTCCAAATGCAAGTAAATAAATGCAGAAGGCTGAGGCTACATCGTAGGTATGCTGCTGTTACCTAGCACCCAGAGAAATTAGTTTTGTTGGACAAAAAATGGAAACACCAGCCAGGATATTTTGCTTCAGTTTAGCTTGTTTGCTGGAATTGCTTGTGGTTAGTAATGAGCACAAGGTTCACTTGTAATAATAATGTAACCATGGTAATAAGATAACACAAGCTGCTGCCAGGCTGATTTGCTGATAAGATTTATACCCTGTTATATTATCCAATGCAATTAAGAAATGCTCGGAAAATTAACATTAGAATAGATTAAAATAAAGTATCAGAGGTGTAGTGACAGCTGTGGGTCTTAAGCATGGTCCCAAAGTGGACATGTCACTGTGCATTCGATGGGCTGTGTTTCAATGAGCAAGGAAAAGGTTTGCTTTCATTTTCCAAGCAGGGAACTGTCATGTTCCTCAATTCTTGCAATTTATGGCACTCATTTTAGTGTGACAGGTCAGAAATGAACCTTGGAAAAGCAACAAGTGTTAGTTGGCCTCGTTTAATCTAAACTGAATTGGATGATCAGCAGGGGTGGAAGAGGGGAAGGCAAATGTATGAGTTGGGATATAGGGGTTCGCTCCCAGTGGGAAGGAAACGAATGGTGAGATGGGGGTCAGAAACTCTTTCCCCTTGCCTGAGTGTTTGGGATTCATTGTCCATCATGTCAACCACTACTTTCTCAAAGCTCCTTTTTATATTACCAGAGGCAGCCACTTAGTCTTTCTTGTCTTGTAAACTCAGAGGAGCAGGGACCATCTCTTCATTCCCTGTATGTGAAATGTGAAGAAACACAGCATTTATACCACTTAATAATATAATCCTAAGAGCTGAGCCGGGATAATCATAAGAGATGAGCCATTTCATAACCGCCTCTGTACCAGACAGAATTACATCTCTCACAACATCCTAGCAACAGAGCTCCTCAGTCATCAGCTCTTCTCCTTCCTTGCAGATAACTCACTGCATCCCCTCTTGCTACATTTGAGTTTAGGATGGGGAATCTGGGATTATTTGTTTGGGGAGAATTTCAGCTGATGAAGGAATTTCAGTGAAGGAATAATAGCAACCTCACAAAGGAGTATAAGAGCAAGTCCTTCAGTTGTTGCCATAAGCCAGGAGAGGAGTGGAAGACAATTCTGGACTTGGAGACTTTTTTCATCTGAGAGTCCTATTACTCAGCCCTTGCTAAGAGTTTTGAGATGTTTGGTTTGCTGAGATAGAGGCCTCCAAAGGTTGTCCAGTCAGAGCTAATATGGGGATTGGGGCCTCTCTCTTGCCTCAGACTGGTTTTTCATTGGGATGATCAACCGTAGTGTGAATGAGAGGGGAGAAACCAGTCTTAGTCTCTTGTTCTTTCTATGCTTAAAATACCTGCTTTACTTAAGGACGATACCTATCAAAGACACCCTTTCTTCCATCTCCTCACCTTATTGTCCTCTTTTGCCTCTGTCTTTCATCCATATTCTACCACCTATTGCTGGACTTTTTCTCTCACTGCTTATGAGTTCTTTATTTTGTTGTTTTCCTGAGTAAATTAAAAGGTCTGTATTTTTTGGTCAATCTCTTTGCTCCTTCTACTGCCTTGACACCCTGCCTTTCCAGGCTCTCCCTCCCCTTGTCTCCATGACCTACACTCTGCTGAGCTGCATCCTGGCTCTCAAATAGTCTCTGTGGTCCTCCCCTCACTTGTTTTGTCTTAGGTCACACCTTGTTTTCCTTCTCTTATTCTCATAAACTGACATTTCTTGCTGGCTGCTCACTCACACATCTCTTCCTGTGCTGTCCAGCCTCCTCATTCCCACTGCTTCTCTGGCACCTTATTCCTTCCTCTACGGGGAGAAACCTGGCTGGCTCTTCATCAGATCCTCCTTCCCTTCCTCTTTGCTGATTCTATCCACACAGTGAGCCTGGTTCAGTTGAAGCTGAGTTCTCCTCTCCACATGATGTAGGGAGTTGACTGTTGTGGCAGTTTTTGCGTTTCTTTTCCTTCCTGGAACTGATGCACTGTGAAGGATGAACACAGGAGTGCCAGCAGGGAGTCCAGGAGAGAAGCAGCACCTTACACTCCTCGGAGTGGAAGAGGTGACTTGGGAGGGAGGAATTGGACTGAAATCTACCAGGTGACAAGTGGCAAAACAAAAAAATCTGAACAATAAGACAGATTTTCTTTAGCTGTAATTTATTTTTGAAGCAATGCCTACATTGTACGGTGCACAACAGCTCAGAAAGAGCTGAAGTAGCTTTGCATAAATATTGCATGAAGCTTTGTGTACAAATGCACACGAGGCACAGAGCTATATGCAAAACCTGGCTAGAAAGGGTGAAGGAAAATGTGGAAGCCTCTGCTTCCATATCTGGAGAGCTTCTGGTACCCGTTTGGGAAAGTAACTCTGCACTGCAATACAGCTTTCAGCATAAACATGCTCCGAGGTGCTGTGAGCCAAGCCCCACGTAGGAGCGAAAGCCATGGAGATGATTTTTAGGTCAGCAGGGATGGCCTAAAGGTTGTAGGGCAGGGGCTGAACCTACTTCTGGGCCTTTTATGGGCCCAGATACATAAAATGAGTGGAGAGACAGTGGTCCAGTATGGGACTTATTTTTTATTTCCAGTTTTCCTTAGCAACCTCAGGCAAACCTTTGCCCTTGGGGCATCCCTTGTCCTTTCAGTGTTTGTCCCTTCGCTCTGTGGCTCCAATTTCATGGGCTCTTGAATCTGGCAGGAGTGACATTGCTCCCCAAAGAAGTGGCCTTGCCTTCTCTGGCTGCTTATTCCTGTGCTGCCCCACTTCCACCTTTTGCTGGCAGATCAGGAGCCAGGAGAGTAAAGCAGGTATGGATTTACCAAGCCGTAGGGGCTGCACTGAGGACCTGCATCCACACTGCATGGATTTCAAGGGCATTACTTTAGGCTAGTAGTATTCTCATCCCACAGACTGAATGTCCATTAGTGAGCATCCATTGGTGGTTGGAGTGCTTTAGGAGTGCTCCCTTCTTCTGCTTTTGTTTCCCCCCCAAAATCAGCTCAGTTCATTTGTCCTCAGACCCCTCTGTGATGCGAATCACAGCTGGAATGATCTGGAGAGACCCTTCAAAAAGTCACTCCCAATCCAAACTAAAAGATGACCGTAGATGCCCTGTGCTGACACGGCTTGGGGTGAAGCAGCTCTGGGGAGAGATCCAAAGGAAAAAGAAATGGTGTTGGCTTCAGCTTCAACCATCCTCTGAGCATGGGCTCTCACCTACATTTGGGAGGGACCGAGGGCTAGTTATAAGCTGCAAGAGGAATTGGATCTCCTTTATTGAAAGCATTTTACATTGGTTTAAGAAGACTGTGAAGTGAGGATCTTTGTCAGCTGTGGGCTCTCAGGACAAGGGCCAACACCTACAGCAGGTAAGGTGGGTGTACAACACGCCACTATGTATTGTGTGCTGAAAACAGCATGGGACTGAGGAGACAAATTTCATCTGAGACCTGTCACAAACACTCATAATCTTCTGAGGAACAGGGGATAGAGCATTTCATTATGCTCATAATGTCCGTGAGAGCTGCTGTACGGTGGGCTCACATCTTCCCAAACAAACCCGTTGTTGTGAAGGGCTCCCTCAATGCCTGTTTCTACCTCTTCCATTTCTCCCCCTCAGTACACGTCTGCAACTCAATTTTTGCTCTATTTTGATACTAACATTTTTCTGTGCTTTTTTTTTTTCCCTTCGGCATCTGCATTCCACCCCCCTGCCTCTTTCCACCACATGCCCATTGAAAACCTAATTGCAGATCCCTTGCTGCAATTAGTCTACGTGCTGCTACGAAGTTCACTTCAATGTGGCTTTTTTTTGGCTACTTCACTCAAACGGGCTTTGAAGCAAAAACCTTGCCGGTGCTTTAATCCTGGTGCCTGTGCTGTGGTCAGCACCCCAGTGTAAGGATGGCCATGTTCTGCTTTCCACCTTTCCCTGCCCTCTCCATACACCCTCACCTCTTCATGCCGGGATCTTTTCTCCCCAGATGCACCATTTATGCTCCTGTTTTGGATGTGTCGGTCTGTATAAGCAGCATTTGGCTTTAAACTGACAGGAGGCATGTTTAGATTAGATATCAGTAAGAAATTCTAGACTGTGAGAGTTGTGAGGCCCTGGCACAGGTTGCCCAGAGAAGCCGTGGCTGCCCCATCCCTGGCAGTGTCCCAGGCCAGGTTGGACAGGGCTTGGAGCAACCTGGTCTAGTGGAAGGTGTCCCTGCCCATGGCAGGGGGGTTGGAACTGGATGGTCTTTAAGGTCCCTTCCAACCCAAATAATTCTCTGATTCTGCAATGATAATTCCATCGTGATTCTATGATGCTCTGTGAATACACCGTGCAAGGCTCCAGAGGTCGGATTCTGGGTTGGTCAGTGGTTTGCACCCCCACGCACCCCACCTTCCCGCGGCGAGCGGACGACGGAGGTGAGAAGAGCAGGAGAGAAGGAGGAAAAGGAGGAGAAGGACGATGAGGAGGAGGAGGAGGAGGAGGGCGATCTCGGGCGTGGATCCTCCGCCGGGCGGGGAGGAAGGCGGGCGGGAAGGAGGGCAGGAGGGCTGGAGGCGGGCGGTGGGCGGGCGCGGGGCGGTGGCAGGCGGGGAGGGAGCCGGGCGCCCCGCGGACCATTCGCGACCGGCGGCGGCGGCAGCGGCGGCGGCAGCAGAGGGGCTTTGAGCGGCGCCGGGCCCCCCGCGGGCAGCGCTGTCAGCGGCGGCCGCCCCCTCCCCGGACATGAAGCCGAGCCCCGCGGGCGCCGCGCCGGCGGCGGGGCCGGCACCGGGAGCGGCACCGGGAGCGGCACTGGGGGGACCCGCGGGGGCACCGCGGGAGCCCGATGCGCGCTGGAGGGAGAAGGGCGAAGCGGAGGCGGAGCGGCAGCGCACCCGGGAGCGGCTGGAGGCCACGCTGGCCGGGCTGGGCGAGCTGGAGTACCTGCGGCAGCGCCAGGAGCTGCTGGTGAAGAGCCTCCTGCTGCGGCGGCCGGCGGGAGCGGCGCCCGGGGCGCAGGGCGGCCGCGGGGACGCGCCGGGAGAGGGGCCGCCGCCGCGCAGCCTGGAGGAGAAGTTCCTGGAGGAGAACATCCTCCTCCTGCGGAGGCAGCTGGTGAGCGGGGGCGGGGGGCGCCGGGGGATGCGGGCGGGGAGCGCCGGGGGATGAGGGTGGCGAGCGCCGGGGGATGCGGGAGAGGAGCGCCGAGGGATGCGCTCCCGCTCGGCCCCGCGTGTCGGTGTGACCCGCGGGTCCTGCCCGTGGAAGGGCGAGGAGGGAGCCGGGGACCCCCTCGGGGAGCGCCCCCGCCCCGCTGTCACGGCGCAGGGGAAGGCGGCGGGCCGGTGACAGCTCGGGAGGGAACGGGTCTTACCGGCGTTTTGCCGGTGGCCGCACAGATCCCTTCGGTTCCCGGAGCCAGACCGGCGGTCCCACTTCCATTCAAGGCAAGAGAGGCGCTGCCGTTGCCATGAATGGAAGTTGGGAGCCAGCTCCCGCGTCCCAGCCCCGACCGGAGGTTACGAGCGCTCGGGCACCGGCAGGATCGGGCTCTTGAAGAAGGGATGCTTTTGTTGAAGGACGCGCTTTGGAGCTTGTGTGGGAAGAGACGGAGGGCGGCATGAAGCGGCAGATCATTTTTCAATGAAAATAGCGTACAGCTGTGCCTGGCGCTCTTTGTGCGCGGCTCAGCATTTGCTTTCACCCAGGGAGAAGTTGGATTGCGTGATTTATTTCACTGATTTCTTCTTTTCCCCACCCCGCTGTTTCCCCCCCCCCGCTCCCTTTTAATATTTCCTATTAGCCTTTTGGTTTAGTTAATTTAGGATTATTTCCTTCTTCAGAAGATAAAAATTAATGATTTTTCTGCTGAGAAGGGGCTGGCTGGCGGCCGAGAGCCGTAGTGAAGGACCAGGGAATCATTACTCAAAAAAAAAAAAAAAAGAAAGACCAAAAAAGCCCGGGGATTTGTGGTAGCACTTTAATTTGTGCACTTGACATTGGAGATTGGAACCAGATGCAGTGCTGCTGGGGGAGGGGGCGCTGGTGGCAGTAGGTGGCGCAGCGAAGTCACCCCTTGAACCCATCACCTTCTCCAGCTTGGCTGCCAGCCAGCCCCGGCTCCCTCCTCAGAAATGTGGGGGAAGACCTGGAATCGCCCCTTTGGGTTCTCCGAGGACGGTCTGAAATGCCAGCACATCTTCAACCAGCCTTGCCAGTGCTTTTTGCATTTGCTCTCCCTTTGCCCAAGGCCAGGTTGGATGGGCCTTGAGGCAACCTGGTCTAGTGGAAGGTGTCCCTGCCCATAGCAGGGGGTTGGAACGAGATGAGCTTTAAGGTCCCTTGCAACCCAAACCATTCAAAGATTCTGTGATTCCATGACTGGCCCACCCAAGGGGAAAGGTTGTCCTGGATTTAACGGGTTTAGAACTAGTCCAGCTCTGAGCATCAAAACTCTTTGCACTGAGTGTATCAGAGCACCCTCTGTGTGCCGATCAAATGATGCACTCAAAGAAACAAAAGTAGATGAACCTTCTTCCTGCCTCCTCCACTTTCCCCAAAGCCAGAGCAATTAAATGGTATGAAGCTGAACAGGTGATGGATAAGCAGCATTATAATACACATGGGGAAACTGATTGTGTTGACCGTGGGTTAATGAGTGCCTTGCAAAATCATTTCTTATTGCTTATTTTATGCCGTCAAATTACCTTCATAAATAGCCTAAAAATTCATCTCGCAGCAATTTTACACAATTATAGTGGGAGAAGGGGAAGAATTACTTTTCCTTCCTGCTGCACTGCAAAACTAATAAAAGGGCTGCGATCCCAGCCCTGGGAATCTTGCTCTCTGTATGGCAAGACTATAAGCTCATAATGTGCAGCAGAACAAGGCGGTTCCCACACTGCAGGCACTTGTTGGCAGAGCTGTTTCGTCCCATTGTGTGAGCAGATGTGATCTTTGACTAACACCACTGTGGTGGCGAACGTGCCCCGTTGGGCTGACACAGCTGCCCAGCCCGTTTCGTGTGCCCGGGTCTGGTTTGACCCCAGCACACAACGCAGCTTTGTTGTTACAGCTGTGGTCAGCACAGCCTGTTGGTCTTCCTAAATCGTGGAGCGTGTTCCTTATGCAGAACTGGCTGGAAGAGGCTGGGATGGAGTGCCTGCGTAATTCTTCGCTGAAGTATTTATCATCTAAAATTTCAGGGCTTTGTTCAGGGTTGGTTTTTTTTTGATAATGGAATATCGACAAGGTACTCCCACAATGCTCAGGTGGAGACGTCTGTCTTTGGAACCCCTCCTGAAGGAGCTGATGTTCTTTGTCTTCTTCTTGTTTTCCAGAACTGCTTGAGGAGGAGGGATGCTGGCTTATTAAATCAGTTGCAAGAGCTGGATAAGCAAATAAGTGACCTCCGCCTGGACGTGGAAAAAACAACAGATGAACACCTTGAGACAGACAGTCGTCCAAGTTCAGGTAAGGGCCCAGCAAAATGAAGCCTCCCTTGGTACCTAGAATTAAACTGGGTGTAGTTTTTCGTGCTGTAGTTTCCAGTAGTACAACAGTGAATGTTTACAGCATGTTCACACTCTGACAATTAGTTCCTACTAACAGAGTCCATCTACCGCTGAAAAGGGGCATCTCAAGCTTAATTAGATTTTTAGTGTTTGAGTGTTTGAGGCTTTTTTTTTTTTTTTTGCAAGGGCACCCTCAAATTAGTTCAGGAAGTTCTATTTGTCCTGCATATTAGGAAGGAGACTGTAGGAAAAAAAAAAGGTGAAAGGAAGCACCACCAGCAGGGGGAATGTGTCAAAATTGATCCTACAGCCAGAAGGGAACACAGAATAAAACAATTTGATCCCCCATATATTGAATTTCATCTCATTCTAACTGTGTTGAAGGCAGTAAGTGGTATTTAACTATGGGGAACTTTTCCTGGAGGCATCTAGACTTGTTCTAAAAGTGCTAAAAAGTGGACAGTCCACCAACTTACAATTGTTAAAGCCATTGCTAATTTCTAATCTGAATTTGACTTGTTCCAGCACTGATTTTTTTTTATATCCTTTTCTCCCCTAAAGAAAGGTCTCTCTCTAGTGCACAGCTTTTCCTCCTCTTGGAGGTGCTATGCAGTATAATTCCTGGTTTGTTTTTTTTTTGATGAGCTAAACAGGTCAAGTTCATGAAGTCATTCATTTTAAGGCATTTTTCCAAGCTCCTAAATAGCTTGATGGCCTCTTTCCAGTTTTATAGCTTTGTTTTAAGCGTGCTGGATTCAAGGACTGGGCTCACCATTCCAATGTCTTTCTTACCAGTGCTGTATGGACTGCTGAAGTCATTTCCCTGCTGCTGTTCATTAGTCTCTTTGTACATCCAACAATCTCATTAGCTTTTTTTGCCATATCATTAAGCTTGATTGAGCTGCTTTTCCACGCTGACTAAGCCCTTTCCAGGATTATTGTTTTCCAGGATGCATCCCCATTCTGTAGGCATGCCCTGCATTCCTCATTCCTAAATGTGCAATTTAAATTTTGTTTGTGGTATGTCATTTTTTCTTGAGTAGTCCCAATTTACCAGGAAATTAAGTTTTATGTGTCTGCACGTTATTTACCATTTTTCTTCTTTCCTGTCATCCCCAAATATTACATTTATCCCCAGAACTTTGAGGAAAATAGTGAATAGCACTGGGCCCAACACTTTTGTAGTCAAGTAACAGTTGGAGAGTCTGTCTTGGAAGTATAACAGTATTAAATGAGTGGGCTGCCAAAGAGCCTGGATCCTTCTTACTAAAATCTGAAAATCCCTGTAAAGGTTAAAAATAAAGTTCAAAATTTCTGCTGTTTTATTTTAAGTGTTTTACTTTCAAGTGTTTTACTTTCAAACAGAATCCTTCTTGGCAATAAGGGTATTACTATAAATTGGGGGCTGTTTTTGGGGTGACTGAATGAAATCACGTAACTAATTGCAACAGAGGAAGCCAACTCAAACATGAGCTTGACTGCCTTTCTGGGGACACAAATGGTAACTTTGTGTAGACGTGACTAATATAAATCCAAACTCTTATTTTTATAGGGTTTTATGAGCTGAGTGATGGAGCCTCTGGATCGCTTTCCAATTCATCTAACTCTGTCTTCAGTGAGTGTTTATCCAGTTGCCATTCTAGCACTTGCTTTTGCAGCCCTTTGGAGGCAACACTGAATATCTCAGATGGACGCCCTAAATCTGCAGGTATAGTAAAAGCAGGTCGAGTACATCATACTCCAGGAGGTGGCTTTGGCTTTGGAAAAACTGCCTCAGGAGTACCTGGGTTGGATTAACCCTTCTTCCTTTCATGTGACGTCTTATGCTCTGAAAAGATTCCAGTGCCTCTCACATACATGGGTCACGAGGCAGGAGCGTCTGCCCTCCACTGCTCCAGCCTTTCGTGGGAACATGTCACTCCAAACACATGAAAATAACTTGTGAGCATATAACAACTGCTCTACCCAGCAGAGGGCAGTGGTACCTGTTCACAGAAACCCATTAGTCGGCTTATTTCTTGTGGTTTCCTCTGGAAAAGCATTTTTAGTAAATTGTAATGATTAAAGATACCTCATAGCCAAATGCTCATTACAGTCACAGAGTAAGGAGGTAGCTACAGGTTTTAAGGGGTCAGGGTGCATGTCAGTCTGTTTGTAGCAGTCATTTTTGTCAGTGCTGATGGTCCTCAACCCCCAGGTGACCGTGACAAAGTGTGTCCTGCATTTATAAACTGTAAACAAATAGACATTATGAACAGAGAAGATATCCTTTGTCTCCTTGGCAGAGAGTTGTGGACTTTCCTTGGATGCTGGGCTGAAGATGCAAGCCTTGATGTGTGGGATGGTTAAATAGGAAGGGCTCCTCTGCCTGCTGTCCATAAAGAACACTTCAGTAGGACTTTTGTCCTTTGTTTTATGGATTATTGGTTGCAGACATACTCATTCAAAAGCCTTAGCTCATTCTGGGTTGTGGAGGATGCTTCCAAACACGGTATTTCCAATTTCCACTCTGCTCTTTTAGGTTGACTTAAAGTGATTTGTTGTGAATCAAGTACAGAATAATTCATGCTCTTTTAATTCCGAAGTGGGAAAACACAGCTTTGGATACATTAATTCTGAGATGCTGACAAGTCCTCTAAGTTACCCTTTGAGCAGCTTGGTGTAATTTAATGCTCCCTGTTGTAAAGATGGATGTGATCTTCATGGGCCATGCATAATAAGGAAAACATACACAAGGAATTCCAGCTAATTGCATTGCAATACGTATTTTTATGTATATATCATGAAAGCCTAAACCTCTTATTATTCACACTGTCTCACATTTAGTTTCTAAAACTGGCATTTTTCGAAGAAGTCTCTTTGTTTACATTTCCTGATTCCAACAGAATTTAGGAAAAGTGGGAAAACCGTGAGGAACTTCATGCTCCTAACTTCCCTGTTCTTCCCCTACTGCTCACACAGGAACTCTGTCAGCTGCTTTCATCAATGCCTGTGAGACCTCTTTGAAATAAGCCTTAGATAAGTGATGAGCGCTGAGCATTCAAATTTGAATACCCTCGCTGAAGTTTCCGGCCTAAGGGTAGAAAACAGGACTGGCAGAGATCTAGAGGGATCATTTAGATTGTACCCCTACCCAAGCAGACAAGGGCAACTTCTTAAGCTTAAGAAAATAATAATCTTAGGTGCTTGGGTTGAAGCCCTGTTCTTAAGGTCTCTTACCTCCCCAGTAAGCGCCTTAGCCATTAAATCTGACTCATGCATCCTGAAACGCACTGGATTTCTCTTGCAGAACTCTCTTTGCAGAGCCAAGGCTAGGATGTCAGCTGGATTGACCTGCACTCCTTGTACTTGCGTGAAAAGATGAGCCTGTTTCCCATTCTTGAACCCTTTATCACTCAAAAGGAGCATCTGCTATTATTATTAGCATTATTATAATTATTATGATAATAATAGTAATAATGATAATAACAACAATAATGAAATTAAATCTGGATTTTTTTTCCTGACCCAAGACATGCTTGGAAGAATCCAGAAGTTAAATTTGTCAGTTAGAATTCACTTTTCTATATTTTTTTGTTTCTCTTTGGATTTAGCAAAGTAAAGTACAAAGTTCATACATGCTGAGGCCTGCAGTGAGTTTTACAGGTGACTGTGTGACGTGTAAGAGACCCTTGCACACTTCTGTGTGGCTGAAGAGTAAGATAGGAAGCTCTTAAGAACCTGGGCAGAGGTTTGAAACCAATGTAAAAGTTCTCATTAGGGCTGTGATTTTTGTTGTTTTAATCATGTGGTCATAGTGGGGCAAATTCCTACGTAGATGCAGTTACAAAGAGCCCCACAGAAGAGTAGTGCTGCTTTTATAACACTTGAATGACACGTCCTTGGTTGCAAAACTGCTGCTACTGTAGTTAAAACGTTGCGTCGTGTGCGTAGATGGGACCGGCGTCCTTGGCAGCACGTTAGAAACGTAGCACAGGTGTCCCTGGCAGGCTCTCTAAACTCTTCTAAAATGCCTTTCAGATCTCATAGGCTGGATGGACTATAATAAGGAAGGCCAGCATGAGGACCAGACCGCAGGCTCTGTCTGTCGCTCTTTGTCCACACCGCACTCAAATTCCCTCGATGTCGTTGCAGATGTACATCCCAAGTACCAGTGCGATCTGGTGTCTAAAAACGGGAACGACATCTACCGGTACCCCAGCCCGCTCCACGCTGTGGCTGTGCAGAGCCCCATGTTCCTCCTCCCGGTGACTGAGAACCCCCAACGAGAAGAGGAGAGGCTCGGTGGCGATATTAGCGACGTTTGCACCCCGTCGGAAACGGACTCGGGGCAATCCGCCAACACCTTCCTCCCGCAGAGCTCCTGGCCGGCGCCCTGCCCTTCCACCAGCAAGAGGATAGACAGTTACATCTTGAGCCTGGTCCAGAAAAAGACTCACGCGGTGAGGACTAACAAACCCAGGACGAGCCTCAACGCCGATCCCACCAAAGGGATCCTGAGGCACGGAAGCATGTGTGTCAGGCAGCCGGCAGCCGTGGTGGCTCACGGCAACGTCGTGAGCCTGAAGAGCTCTAAGCAGGTGTGTTTGCCCCCCGGTGGCACCCCCGCTCTGGACCACACAGCACCCTCTCCCTTAAAGCAGAGGCCGAGGGAGCCAGCTGGCGAGCAGCTGGAGAGCAGGAAGGCACCTTTGCCGGCAGCTTTCCCACCCGGCACAACGACGGAACTTCAGAGCAAGCACCTGCCACGGGGTGTCAAACCGGCACCGCCGGAGCTCAACCGCGGCGTGGCGGCCACAGCAGGGGATGTCCCCAAGGAGAACGGCCAGCTCTTCGCTGCGTCTCCCAAAGAGAGCCCAGGGAAGCCCGTGGTGCTGCAGCCAGAGAACAGGGTCAGCCAGCCTCCCAAAAAGATCCTGCTGAAGAGCAGCATGCAGGCAGCTCGCTCCTCGTCGCCGGCTGTCGAGGAGAGGCCCGCGCTGGATTTCAAAAGCGAGGGCTCTTCCTCGCAGAGCCTGGACGACGGGCTGCTGGTGAACGCCCAGTACATCCCTGCCCAGCAGCAAAGCATGAAACTTCACAAAGGCACCCGAAACGTCAAGATTTTGAAAAGCTCTGCGTTGAAACACAGGTCCCACCTCGCCAACGGGCTGGAAAACAGCTCGCAGACCTTGCGGGAGAAAACCAAACCTGTGGGCAAGAAGTGCCGCTTTCCCGAGGAGTTGGATACAAATAAGAAACTGAAAAAGCCCTCGTCCCGGGGGAAGAGAGGCGGCGGGCTGCCGCTGGAACCGGGCCCCCCCAACCGGCAGGGCGGCCTGCACAGATCCGCCCTCCGCTCCCACGGGCACGGCCGAGAGGTCGTGGTGGCCAAGCCGAAACACAAGCGCGCCGACTACCGCCGGTGGAAGTCGTCGGCGGAGATTTCCTACGAGGAGGCCCTGCGGAGGGCCAGGAGGAACCGGCGGGAGGGCGTGGGGGTCTACCCACAGGTGCCCCTGCCCTACGTCAGCCCCTACGCCTATGTGGCCAGCGACTCGGAGTACTCGGCCGAGTGCGAGTCCTTGTTCCACTCCACCGTGGTGGACACGAGCGAGGACGAGCAGAGCAACTACACCACGAACTGCTTTGGAGACAGCGAGTCAAGCCTGAGCGAGGTGGAGTTCGTAGGGGAGAGCACGACCACCAGCGACTCTGATGAGAGCGGGGGCCTGATTTGGTCCCAGTTTGTCCAGACGCTCCCCATCCAAACGGTCACGGCGCCGGAGCTGCATGAAAATGCGGCAAAGGCCTTTGTCAAAATCAAAGCCTCCCATAACCTCAAGAAGAAGATCCTCCGCTTTCGGTCAGGCTCCCTGAAGCTCATGACGACTGTCTAGTGAGGTGACTTGGTGGAATGTATCTGCTTCTGCTTTCGGAAGCAAGGTGCTTTTTTTGTTTTGTACATATTTCCACAGAATTTTTTTTTTTTAATACAAATATTTAAAACTTAAGGTAAATTATGTCACTTGTCTTCAGAGCTTGGGTGGATACTAGTGCCTTTTACGTGGAAATAAAAGACCGTTATAAAAAAAAACCCCAACATAACACTGCCATTTCAGTGGTGAACGGCCTCCAGCGCGTGGTGTCAGAAGGCTTTGAAAAAAGGCTATAATGTTTCTGAGTATGGATCTCCCTTGCCTAGTTTTTCCAGTTCTGGGTCTTATACAGGATATCGACAGCTTAAGGTCATAAGTTTTTAGGGAATAAGGGGGAGGGAGTGTGGGTGGTCTTCATGCTTTTGCTTGTCCCTTTCTGCTGCTGCTGTTGCCATGTCTTGAACTTCTTCCTCCTGGTACTCTGGCCTGTTTTTTTTTCCTTTTCTTGTTGATTCTCTTCTTGAAACTCACCCCTGTCCTCCTCCAGCCTTCCTCCACCAGAAAAGGGCTCCTGTTCAATCTATCTGCCTTCTCTGTAGTGCACTCTGCTCCAATCTCCCGGGAGTCCCGCTGCGGACAGCGGTGGTGTCCAGAGTAAACTGCTGGAGCAGCTGACCAAGGCTCAGTAACTTCATTATATTGTGTAAAACTGCTTTTGAAAAAGAAAAAAAAAACCATATGCATGTCACGTGCATGAGTATCAGTAGTTTTAATATTCCTGTTGATGTCCAATTTACTGTACATCATCAATGGCTGTTTTTATATATATATATATATATATCATTGTGTAAATTAATATAACACATCATATGCTGTAATAAACAGTCTGTTTTAATACTTTTTAAAGTTTGTTACGTTGGTGCAGACCCAGTCAATGGTTTTGTATTGGCATTGTCACCACTTAGATGTGTCTGATGTGACCTGTTAACGTTCCCTGCATTTAGCCATGCAGGAAACAGAGCAAGTTTAAAGTGTTGCTGTGGATGTGACTTGTGCTGTGAGGGCATTGGATGGTCATGGCTCCTCTTTTTCTTCCCATAACTTGCATTTTTCTAAGGGCAAGGTAGGATTTGGGATCTCAGAGGCATCTTCAGGTTGTTGCTGATGGGCAGCTCACGTTGCAGAGCAGATGGAAATGTAATATTAATCCTCCTCGCTGTCTGGGTGCTTCCAGACTTTGGTTGGTACAACACAGGGGCAGATGGTTGGTTTCTGTAACCAAATCGATCCATGTAACGCTACAGGTGTCCCTCTGAAACCTCCAGTAAATGAATCCCCAAGAGCTCTGTGCTCTGGGAGCTGGGCTGGGTGGAGGAGAGCACAGGTCTGTGGTGACCTCCTTAGCTGTGGCAGCTGACTCTGTCACAGCCTGGCAAGATCATGGAAAGAAGTGCACAATTGTGTCACCCACTGGTCTCTGTCTCAGTTTATTCCCATAGGACCGGAGGTGAGTCTGCCAGCAAAGGAGAAAGGAACTATCCATAGGCTGCACTGCTTCCCTTCACAGCAACAGCTGTGCAGCTTCCTGGTGGGAAGGCTGGAGGTTTTTGGCAGGTTGAGCTGGTTTCTGCAGGTTCATCTTCTGCTTTGGAAGTGTTGGACATGCAGCTGGCGTTGATGCTGTGACTGGTATGGATTTCAGGGATTTGTGTGCAGCCTGTCCATTCCATGGCAAGATTCTGCTGAGCAGAACCTTCCTTTGTGGTTCCTCTGTGTCCTTCCTGCTGTCACCCACCTGAAAGGCAGAGCAGCTTTTTTTCTCAGGTTCCCTTGAATTGCAGATGTAGGATGGAGAGATCCACCCAGAATTAAACATCTCTGGCAGCAGTTCCTGAGACAATGGGAGCACTTTTTCCAAGGGGCAGATTCTATTTTTCAATCTGCAGTGTAGTAAATCCCTACCTATAAAATGTCTTATACTACTTTTCCTTCTTTTTTTTTTTTTAAGTAGAGAGATATCAGTTTCTGTGAGTGTTTTAAAGTACATCACAAGCCTGTGGATTCAGTGACCCAGAAGGTCCTTGCACTTCCATCTCCCATGATGCAGAAAAAGCTGTAACTCCCCTTATCTGCTTATAACTGTCCTATTGCTTTACACATGGAAGGGCAGCTTGTATATATATATCTGTATGTGTAAAAAATTTATATAATGGTATGAAATAATTAATCCAGAAATTACTGGACAGTGGCTGCCCCCACAGAGAGGGGAAAGAAGTAATGTTTGTTATTATATATGGCATTACTAAGGCTAAGCAGCAGCTTAATGCATTCCCATGAATAACTGATGGGTGTTATATCAAACAAAGGGAATGTCTTGTGGAAGCTAGCAGTTCCTTTCCTAGAGTATCTCTTAATCATGCCTCATAATCTCTCTTTGAGTGAGGAAAAACATGTGCAAATCCCTGTAAATCTCCTCAAAGTTGTAGCAGAGTTGCAGAGAGGATCCTCAGACATGCACTCCGTCTCTCTGGCTGTAAAGGAACCACTGGTGGAGAGACAAAGCAACCAGTGGATGAGGTTTTAATTGCAGGGCTATAGCAGATTGCCTTGTTCCAGGTGAGGGAGGCTGCTTTTCAAAAGTGAGCTGCTGAATGGTTTCTTTTCAGATAATCGAGTAAAAAAAAATGAAATAACCACCTAAATATCGCTAAGACTGTATCAGCTGCAGCCACTGTATTCTGCAGTTCTCTTGCTGAATAGCTTGATACCAGACTGGGAAATGGGCTGATGGTATCTCTGTCTTAATTGCATCTGAGTCTTTTCAGTTTGGGAAAGGAATTTTCCCTTTTTTTACAGGATTTAGGTAAGCATCCAGAATCCTTTAGACAGGCCTAGGTTTTTCTATCTACACCCAACCCCCTCCATATTTCTTTTTTATTAACAGATCTTAACAGTGCTGGAAAAGTACTTGATATGGTCCCAATACACAACACACATTCTCGTCTCTGGTTCTGATTTAGGAAACACATCTGAGTTAGTAAGTTTGGCTGAAAAACATCTGCTGATCTTGGAGACTAGTTGAATATCTGGCACTTCTTTAAGCTACCTGGCTTTCCAGCTTCACAGCCTGGAGTCCTTGCCCGTGTATTTTTCATAATGTTCACATTTTAGTCATCCCCAGTGTTTATGGTTGCCTTTGGAAGTCTGAAGCAGGAACATTTCGTTGCACTGGGACCTGTTTCCAGGTGGGGGTAGGTTGTGGTGGGGAAGTTTGGGATTAGGTATCCCTTTGCTCTGTATGTAACTGAGTGCAGGAAAGCACAGACACATAAAGGAACACGAGCAGACCCCTTTAGGTGGATTCCTTGTGATTCAGGAAACACAGTGTTTCTGCACACCTGGAGCAGGAATCAGCATCACACTCTGAGGGGATGAGTGTGTCACTGGGCTGTCTGCCTTCCAGCAGGCTTTTTGGGTCTGTCTTCTGCCCCCCAGCCCCAGCCACCAGCTGTGGGTCAGCAAATAAAGAATCAAGCTGTGCCTGGTGTGTGCAGGGTCAGGGAGAGGCCCTGGCGTCATGCCGAGACGTCCCAACTGCGTGGGGCCCCTGCTGTGGACCTCATGCTTGTCATGAGAAATCCAATGTGCCTGTGCTGCAAGGGCTCAGACAGCTGGGTCTGAAGGAAGGGGGGAATGGAGAGTCCCATAAATAGAGTGGCCTGATCCTGCTTCAGCTGTATTTCTAAGAGAGGCTGGAAGAAGAGGTGTTTCGGCCTCGTGTTTCAGCTCAGTAAGTTGGACTGGACAAAAGAGAGTCCTCTGAGAGACTCTGCCTCCTTTTTTCCAGAACCCTCTAAATGATCAAGGCCACTGTCAGCACTGCCAGTTGCTCAGGTGCTTAAAGCATCTGACCAAGTCCTGCAAGAACTGGGGACAAGTGATGAGCTTCAGTCCCCCAGGTCTGTTTTTGGCCTTCCATGGCACAGCCCCTGTTTGCAGAGAGCCTTTAAGTCCCAGCCCTCTGCAGCTTTTCCTGTCCTGGGGCTTCAGAGGGAATCTATCCATCCCTTACAAGTTTTCTAGTTTCTTTATGGCTTGGGGTTTGTGCTGGATAAGGACTGAAAACAGATACTCCATGACAGTCCTGTGCCTTCAGTAATCCCAAATCTGCTTGTTGGCTCAGAGGAAGGTCAGGTGGCAGCTCAAGTGGTGCTCCTCAGGTGGCAGCCAGCAAAGCCATCCCTCAGGGACCTGCATCCCTTTCTGTCACAAAGGGCAGCAAAGGCTTGGGTTGGCTGTGGTCACCACTTGGCAGATGATTCACCACAGCGGGCACGGCTCTCCCTCAGCATGTGATTTTTCTCACAGGAGGGAACAAGGACGTGAACATTTTTGAGGAAGCAGAAACAGCTAAGTGCATTTTTAATAGCTAACTTCAGTGTCTAGTATGTACCTTTGGAGCAGCCAACAAAAATACACAGAACTGAGCTGCTGGTACGAAAAACTGAGCCGTTCTCAGCTCTTTGCAATGTCCTGTCCGTGGTAGGAGGGGACACAGAAACCAATGGAGACAAATCACAAACCCCAGGTCTGTTTGTCAAACTTGCTTTTCTCCTGAATTTCTCTGAACCTCCAAGGTATTGCACTGGGGCTCCTTGCATGGCATGGTGTTTCTTTTCCTAACTAAACATTATAGATGGAGAACTGTGGTCAGAAACAATTGGTGCTGGAGCGTGTCCAGAGAAGGACAAGAGAGGATGAAAGGACTAGAGCAGAAGTCTTATGAGAAGTGGCTGAGGGAGCTGGGGGGGGCTCAGCCTGGAAAACAGGAGGCTTAGGGGGAACCTTCTCACTCTCTACAACTTCCTGACAGGAGGTTGTAGCCAGGTGGGGGTCGGGCTCTGCTCCCAAGAAACAAGTGATGGGACAAGAGGAAACAGCTTCAAGTTGCGCCAGGAGAGGTTTAGATTGGAACTTAGGAGAAAATTCTTCTCTGCATTGGAACAGGCTTCCCAGGGAAGTGATGGAATCGCCGTCCCTGGAAGTGTTCCAGAAATATGTGGATGTGGCGCTTGAGGACTTGGTTTAGTGGTGAACATGATGGTTGGACTCAGTGATCTTAGAGGTCTTTTCCAACCTTAACTGTTCCGTGATTCTACAAGTGGCTTTAGAGGTTAAAAATTCTCACAGTGTTGGAATGAGGGGAGATATAGAAGCCAGTGGGGGATCCGTTTAAAAGGGATACTAGAAAGTGCTTTTTTACACAGCAGGGAATCTGCTACCACAGGAAATAGCGAGATAGATGTAATATCAGCAAGTTCAAAGGTGTTAGAGAAGGTAGGGATGGATGTACTCTACCATCCCCAGTCAACGATTGTGGATGCCAGGAAGAGTGTGAGGTGAATGGACTGCAAACAGTGGCCAGGCTTGTGTGCTCCCCCTCAAGATTGTCTTTCCCTGTTGTTGTTGTTGAACCACCATTAGCTGGAAGAGATGCACCATCCTGTTGGCACAGCAGACCATTTCCTCTGCTCCTATGATCTTGGAGTAGCTGATGGGGGTTGTCTATGCAATTGAATTTCCTCACTCTTTATTAGTCTTTTGCCCTCCCAAGTGCTGCTGAAGGCAAGTTTTGCATTGCTTTGCAAAGAAGTTCATTTTCCACGCTTGGCTGACACGTGTTTGTTCAGACTACGGGCATGTGTTTCTGGTCACTCTCGTCCTGTGGCACAATTTCATCCACCCTTTTGCATGGGCAGCCTGTGCTGAAGTCCTCTGTTATGGTGAACATCATTCCCTGTCCTACAAGCACCGTTATGGACACAGCCCATAGATGATCCTCATGACTTCAGTCCGTACACTAGTCTACCATGGGAGTCACTGTTGGGCAGCAATTTTACACCCTACAGTTGCTTATAAACTCTAGGAAGAGTTGGTGACCTCCAAACCAAATGAACCATCCTAGAGACAAGAATGCCTCCACTGCTCCTTGCCTTGGGACTTTGCTATCCTTGGAGAGCGTTTCTCTCCATCTGACTGTGTCTCCATTGGTGCTTTGGCTTGGAGCAACAGAGCAGTCTGGGAGTGAGTCCCATGGTCATCTCCACTCAGTGAGTGCTGGTTTGGACAGCAGAGCACTTTTGGGGCACACTTGGTAGATGCCTTGAGAACACTGACCCAGATGGTCCACTCCAGGGACACAGGAAATGTGTTTCTACCCAAGCAGGGACATGGGGATCTGACCCAGTGATGGCTCCCTGGAATAGCTTCCAGTCAAAAAATATGGGCAAGTGTGGTCCAAATGACATTGGGGACCAGACTTAGTCTAGGCTAAAGTAAACACTTGAACTGTGTATATTGTACTTGTGGGGAACTCTCTTTGGATCTGCTCCTTTTGTGCTGAGTGACCTCTAATGTAAACAGAGCCTTTCTCTCAATTAATGGCCTTTGTTTCCATGCTGTATTCCTTTAAGATCAATAAAGTATATTAACGTTAATAACTTCATTTCACTGAACCAAGCTCTGAAAATCTGGCTTTTGTTCTTTTTAAGGGAGTTGTAAGCCCTGGGAACTAAGACTTTTGTGACTATACTAAAGGAAAACCTCTATGATTTGGACTCTGACCTCATGATGGGGTTCATGTCGTCAGGCTTTGTAAGAAAATTGTTTTATCCCCCCCAAAAATGTCAAGTCTTCTGTGGTCAAGGGCAGGAAGCTGAAAAAATTGCAGCCTGTTGAAAAATAGTTCCCTGTATCTCCTTGTGAGCCTTGAGCCTTCAGAAATGAGATTTTCATGAGGAAAGGAGGCATGAGGTACAGGTAGGGGAAGGACCTAATCAATCTTAATCTCTGAAGTGCTCATGCAGTAAGTGTTTAAGCACGTGATTAAGCCCATTCTTACCCAGCGAAGCATTTCAGTCCACGATTTGAGTGTGTCGTGTTTGGAGTGAATTAAACACATGCTCAGGAATGCTCAAGGTCTCTAAGCTTCGCAAGTGTCCTATGTGTGTTTGTACAAGCTGTCCCAGTGACTCCCCTTGGCTAATGCTGGAAGGAACTCCCTGCTCTCCCTTAAGAGCCAGACCCTGTATGGTGAAATTTGATTCAAACTCTTGATCTGAATGTGGGAGAAGCAGCACCTCGAGTCCATGATTTAAGCAGTAATAGCAAGGAGTGCTTTTAAAGGAAGAAATGCATTTGTTAATTGTTGTATTTGAGGCCACTGAGCTAAAACCACTTTAGATACATGAGTGAATGTGCTTTGTGCTCTGTATCAGTAGCAGGACTTTGTGTAAACCCTGGGAATGACACTCGGGAAGAGACAGAATGACCCTTTCTATATTCGCTCCCTTCCCTTGGACACCCAGGTAGAGTTGGGAAAATGAGGCAGGCAGAAAGGGCTACAAATCTGTAGGGTCTGCAGCACCATTCATTCATCTGCCTGGCTAATCTTACTTTAATCCCAGTTTCAGGCAGTGGGATTAGCAAAACAGTGGGATCTCTGAGCTACCCAGAGCCAGAGGATAGAGCTGGGAAGTGCAGAGAGGGTAACTTTGCCTCGTTTCAAGGAAAACTGCAGTTTGAGCAAGCAGTAGAGGCAAGGGAATGGTTAAAGGTTTGTCTTCTCTTCCCAGACACGTTATTTACAGTGAGTCGGTTTACTTTTGGAAGGGCCCTCTGTAAAAGGAGACGTTCCCAGCGTTTCTGTGGGTTAGACCTATATCACATTACAGTTTTCTTTCCTGGACTCCTGACTGACACGATTTCCTGAAGTTGCTCTCCTCTCGGGAAGGTGAACTCAGGAAAGAGTAGGAGTTTGCTAAAAATCTGGAGTCCTGGAAAGCAAAATCACGGCGATGTCCTTTTCTTTCTAGACATAAGGTCAGCCCTCGGTGCTGGATCATGTTCTGTATCTCCCAGTGCAGGGCAAGGGCTGGGAAAGGAGTGGGAGAGGGAATCCACCAGGTTTGATAAGAGAGCGGTCTGTAAATCCTGTTGGAGCAGCTTGCAAAGGCCACGGCACCAGCCACAGGAGCAGCTCTTGGCTGTGTCAGGCGAGCAGCCGTCCCACCCGTGGGCAGTGAGGTCAAGGGCAGTGGTGGCCATTGACCTGGGTATCCTGACCCCTGCCTTTGCTGAAGCCACCTTCCTGCCTCCAGGCCACAGCAGGCAGCGTGTTCACCCTGGTTAGTGTTTCCTTTACTGCCTTTTTTTTTTCTCCTTCATGAGATAAATTGTGGCTTGGCATTAAAGCCAAAGAGCTGAATGAAAGTGAAGCTCTGGCTTGTTTCTCCTGTCAAACACTTCACAGCAGTGTTTTCCTTGATGGTGAGTTGCTTGAAAGGAAGAGATATGATCCTCTTCTCATCTGCAACATACCCATTTTTTACAGGTGTCTTCTCAGTGGTTTGTATGGAACAACAAACACATTGAGGTAACACATCACTGTCTTCAGCACCGCGGGACACCCTGAAACAGCTCTGTATCTGCACCATCCACAGCTACCCCAAGATGTTTTTCTGACAGGGATATCAGAACTGAGAGGTTTGGATCTGACTGGTCCCACCCGCAGCCCATCAGTGCTTAGGGTGAAGATGCTCCTGCAGGGAGAGGAGGAAGCACACTCAGAAGTGTTTATTATTGCTGTTGAATGACAAGCTCCCTTTCTTTCCCTTCCCCTTCCCTGCCATGGAGATAGGGATCTCTGCTGTGGTCCCTGCTGCTTTCTTTTTCCTGTGTTGATCTATGGTAAGACTTACTGCCTTTGAAGGATGGTCTTAGCCCTGAGAGAGGCTTTTGTTGCTGAACTACTGACATTTGATTCAGAGTATGTTTTCCTCTGGGCCCATTGCAGATGCCCACCATCTCCCTGGGTAGGTTGCTTGGGCTCATGAACATGGTAATGTGGGTGCTCTGAGCCTTCCTCTCTTCCCTCATCTTTGCCACTAAACCAAGATTTTCTTACTCTCATCCTTTGTCCTGTTGACTCTCATCTGAAGTCATCTGACTGTGGGGGTGTTCCTCATGACTTCAGAGTACAGCACTTATGTCTTTGGCCTAAGTAAAATTTGTGGATCCATCACAAAAATATGAAATGAACAAATAATTTCATATTAAAACAAAAAGGCAGTGGAGAACTGGCTTTTCTTTCTGTTGGGTTTCCACCCTTTATTAACTACTCAACAACAAGCATCATGATACAGACAGGAAACAACAAAAGTGAAAATAATAGATCACCATCCCTACTGTGTAGCAGGGACTCGATGCACTTGCATGGGGAAGGGGTAAACAAAAGGCCCTTTGTCCTTCCAGAGAACCATCCCCTCACTGATATTGATCTAAAAACCGAAATAAATTAATGATCTACAGTTAGGAGAGATGGCAAAATGGACAAAGTGTAGCTGGTCCCTGTGCTAGAAACTGATTCCTCTGACTGCTGGATCCACTCCTGTTCCTGTTGATGGATTCTTAGATCATTTCCTTGGTGGTCAGGGCTGCTTCCAGAAACTGCTCCTGGTGCACCGATGAAAAGGCCAATTTTGTGAGTAAACATCCTAATGAGCAGATCCTGACAGATGGTTTGTTGCTCAAGCCCCACATAACCCTTCAGCTGGTGTCAGTGTCTCCCACAGATGTTTCCCAGGAGAACTTCCCCACGGTGTGGTTGGGAGCTCTCAGCTTTCACAGCACGTCCGGCTGCATCCCAAGGAGAAGCCTTGGTGCTTGCTCAACACATTGTGGGTATGTCTTGGGAACAACAGACTTCTGGAAACATGTTTGTCATAGTATAAATAAATTTAGGCTCCCAGTGGAGCCTATTGGTGGCTGAGCAGGGTAAGCAAAGGTGTCTGTGCACAGCGGCTGCTGCTGCTGTCGTTTGGTCCATGAGCAGTGCGAAATGTCTCACTGCAGAACAATGAAGCAGAACAAAAAATGTCTTGCATACTTTAAGTATCCTTCAGTCCCTTTTGTCTTGGTATTGCCTCATCTCACTCTTTCCAAAATCTGTCCCCAATATTTTCTAGCAAATCGTAGAATAAATGTCATTTAACGAAGTGATTTTTCCAAGTGAATCTCCTCTTTTCCCCCCATTTCCTTTGTCTGTGAGTCTGATGAACTGTTCCGAGCCCTGGGGTCAGCCTATGACACTGTAGTCACTCGCAAGATCAGCTCAGGCAGATCCTCAGGCAGATCAAATATTTCCACTAGTAGCTGATGGGTAAATACAGACACTTTACCTTGTTCTCCTCCCAAGAGGAGCTCATGAGACCGTAAGACAGTTCATACAATCTGTCTTCCAGAGCAGGCAATGTAGATTTGGCTGATTTGTGTATCCCTGCAGTGTTTGTGGTGGGCTGTACAGGACGTACAACTCCCTGCCCCTGACTTGAGAGCAGCTGGAACTGGACTGATGTGCTGTTGAGAGGGAACTGGCTACAGTTGTCCTGCGAGGGTGTCTGCTAGGAATGGTCTTAAAAAAAAGATTCTGCTTTGGGAAAAAGTTTAATCTTGATGAAATTAGGCTGCATTCCTGCCAAAGTGGAGCAGAACACAACCAGGTAGAAATTCTGCAAAAGGGAATTAGTGCAGCAGCTCGCACTGTGGGTTGTCTCAAGAGCTGATCTCTGGAGCACTTCACTGGGTTTCATGGGCTCTCCATCTGCGGATGGTCTGGTGTTTCCTCCCTGAGATGGTCCAACATGTGGGATACCCCAAACTGAGAGGTGTGGGAGCAGCGAAATCCCCTCTTGCTAAGCAGCCTGTTTGGCAGCAGGTTGCCCCAGGGCCCTGGAAACCTGAACGGTGGAGGAACCAGATGGGTGACCAGGCAGGAAACTCAGCAGGTTTCTGATGTTTGGAGCCCTGTGCGAGTTTCATGGGAACCTGGGCAAAATTGACTCACCTTGCTGAGATTTTGCTGAATTGGTGAATTCCTCTGAAATGCTGTTTTGCCCGAAACCTTCCGAGCAGGTGCAGTATCTGCAGCTATCTTTTGAAGACAGAGACAACGCGTTCCCCTGCGCTGGCAGCGTGGGTCTTCTGGGAGTCAAAGAAGCTCTTGCCTTTGCTGTTGAGCCCTCTGCCAGCATTCACACTCTTGAAGTGGTGTCTAGGAGGGAGGATACAGGAACTTGGCAGGGATGAGTAAAGGATGCTGACAGGTTATTCTGATCCTTAGAAAATCATTGTGTTCTCCTCATTACGCTACACCTCATCCACCTACTCTGTCTTGTCCTATAGACTATAAATTCTCCATGTTAAATTAATTCCCCAAGTTCTCTATTTGTTTTCACAGCCTCTAGCTGAGTTTCCTAGGTGCTACCCTCATATAAACAATAATTAAGACGGCTCTGTCCTGCTGCAAACCACTTCTAAGGATGTTGCCTCTAATTCTCTTCCTTGTTTAGCGTTGTATCATTAAAAGGCATGAGGTGGTTAATTGGAGGCTTACAGCTTTTGTGACTGATGCAAACCAGTGTGTGTGTAATTGCTGCAAACGCTCAGGTGAACGCTTTAAAGGAAAAGGGGGAAGACACAGATGGCCACGAGCAGAAGGTTCCCCGCAAAAGGTCAGAGGAAAAGGTTAGTGATAGGACTGCCCCGAAGCTGGAAAAAAGAACCTAATACCTGGACAACTGGTGAGGAGCCTGGCTAGAGCCAGGCTTTGTTCCCTAGAGGGGGCTGCCGCTGCGGAGGAGATTGTACATCAAAGCTCTCGTAAGAAAACACAGCAGAGATCGGTATCGCCCAGCCTGTGGCACTGGGGGAAATGGATTGGTTGACAAGTCGGAGGCCCTTTCTGGGCAGATGGCTGGGTAGGAGTTACTGGCTGCTTGCAAAATCTCGGAAGGAGCCTTTAATCTGCCTGTGATACTGTATGTTTTAGCGAGCATCCAGATGCTTATCTCGGCTGCATTAGTCATCAGGAGAGTCTGCTCTCAACCTCTCCTCTTCCAAACCTTCGCTGCAGGCTTCTTCCCCCGGTTTTTCGAAAAGATGTGAGCTGAACGCTGTAGGATTTGTTGGGCTTTTTGTAATTTTGACAAGGAAATATAACAGGGATAGGTTTTCTCGGTAATACTCTGCACAGCATATTTAGTTGTGTGATAGACTTTCAGAGCCTTGCCCGGGGAGCCAGTGGTCTGAAAAGTTTTATCACGCTCCAAAACAAATAGTTCTGTCTTGAAGCCCATTAGAATAACAACTACAAAGCTTCTCTCAACCTGATGTTAAATGCCTCGCTGTGCCAAAGGTAAACAGGATCAATCAATCATCCTCCCAGGGACCATCTGACGGCAGTCCACGGATCAAGCTTGGCTTTTGAGGTCATTTTTATCTGCCTTGGGGACCACAAGCTGACCAAACTGGGGTCTTGCTCTGCATGTGCAGCTGAAGAGCGCAGGGTTGGGTCTGGCAGTGTGTGTTAATTAGGCGTCTCCAATGTAAATATATTTATTATGATGAGGTCTGCAAAGTGGTGAGACCTGGGCATGCAGGCCCTGGCCGCCTCTGTTATTCTACAAAGCCAATATTGCCACTGTGCATCTGCTGGCTTGGCCAAACAAGAGCTTGATGCTGCTTTTCCTTCCGTGCTTTTGTACCTGCGGTGTTTTTCTTGTCTTTTTTGTAAGCCAAAAAAGAGCTTAGCTCAGTGGGGAAACCAAACTCCCAGCAATGCCTGAAGACTGCAGACGATGTAATAGTCTGAAGTTTTGCTAATCCAGACAGTAACATGAGCTCAGGGTGTTCAGCTGAGGTCCCACTATAACTTTGCACATCATCCAGTGAGATTTAGAGCCTACCAGGTCATGGGCTGTGTATGCAATTAAAAAGCTCCTTTCCCCAAGGAGTTCAGAGCGCAGAGGCAAAATATTAACCTCCCAATTAGTTTATTGCAGCAGACTGGGGCACAGAAGTCAGATTATCTGGGGGCACGCTAAGACCACTCATGTGCCATTGAACTTGGAAAAGGCATTTTTCACGGCATCTGGTTTCAATCAATTTGTCATCAATTCAGAGTCCCAGACGCGTTTTCTGGGACCATTAGAGTGCAGAGCACTGACACGGGGTTGCAGCTGTAATCCAAACATGGGCATCCAAAGTAAGAGTCCCGCTGCCTCTCGCTGGTGACTGTGTAGAGAATGAGGGTCTGGAGGGCACACTCCTCTGAACAAAGCTCCTTTTCCCATTTGAGAAAGCCTCAGGCTGGACCATCCCCCTCAGTCGTCCCATGTGCAGCTTGGTCATATGTGCAGTACCTGGACAGACCTTAGCAGAGACCCAGTCTCCATGAGCTGGGGAGGGTAATGGAAGCCTCTGCAAAGGCTCTCTCCCACATGGAGCAGGTTCCTTCCCCAGCCTACCTCTGCATTTTGCTCTTAGGGCTCCAACCACCTTCTTGTGCAAGCAGCCGGTCGTGGCTGTGACTCTGCCAGTACAGGAACGTGCTGAGAGGAGCCTGGTTCATTTAAATGTGTGCAACCACAGCTCATGCTTTTACAGCATATATTCAGTGAAGCAATGCCTTTATCTGCAATACTTAGCCTTTATCTAACATCTTTTCAGTCTAAAGCTTTTTTTGAAACACAGATTAAGTAATAACAACGTAGGATAATTGAGTGCATTTTTTCACTGTGACATAATGATACTTATCTGTGGCTACTGAAAAGCAAGGATAATATACTATGTCAGTGCCGTATTATCTTGCTTCTGAAAGAGAGCAAGTTTGGCATTAGGGCTTAAGTAATTGAAATATGGCTCCTTGTACCAAAGCCTGTTTGTTTACAATAAATCCTAATGCATCTTTCTAATGGATATTGTAGTGTCAGAAGCACTGACGTGATCACTGGCTCTTTGCAACCTGTGGGGCTGGTGGAGTATTGAGTCTGCAGAACACACTGTGTGAGAACTACATCTGATGTACAGAGCATAAGCCACCTCGCTGCGAGAGGAGGCCACCTTGGGGATCAGCGTTTGTGATGTGTGACCATTTTTTGGATGTCAGGTGAGACACAGTTCTGAGCGTGCTCTGCTTGGCATTGTCGTGGGTTCTGTGGGTAATCAGTTATAACGCTGCTGCGAGCAGACCTTAC